AAAGGATATCTGTGGCCTCAACTAAAGAAATCTGTTGTTAAATTAAGCCTGGTCCCCACAGCATGACTGAACAATAGAGAACAGAAAGCTTTCTGTAAAAAACATCTCTACTGCACATCCAAGGGAGGCAGTTTAGGACAGCGGTATAAATGTCCTTGTCTACTCTCTCTTGACTTCTATCCCTTGTTTCACAAATACTGCTCAGTGATACCTCTCAGGATTTTCCAAGTCCCTCTGCATTTTCTGAATCTTGTCATCACCAGAAAGTTATTGATGCAGCCACGTGATCCATTTTACTTTGTTATGGATCCCCACACACTGGAACTGATAACAACCTGAACCAGACTATGGAGAGAATAAAAACAGTAGACAAAATTTTCAGAAGTCCTTCAGAAATACCAAAAGGCCTCACATAGAAGCACTGTGTTGCAAGACATCATATTGCAAAGTTTAGGTTATAGAAGTTCATCCTGCTTTTTATCCTTAGATCCGTAAAGCAGTCAGTATCACTTTCAGAAACATGTGCAGCTAATGATTTCAGAGCTACATGGCGAAGTATCATTCTCGTAAGTGCATAAAAATCATTCCTAAAGATTCAGGCCAGCCATCCGCGCAACTCCATGGGTAAAATACACAGGAGTTACTGAACTCTGAACTTCAGCTGAAATAAACTGAAGTAATACAAGCAACAACTAATGCAGCAGAGGTACCTATTATTTTTAGTCTTTTTCATCCCGATATTTCATAACTATGTCTACAAATATTTTTTTAAATGGTGAACTAATCAAAACTACTATTCAAACTTTCAACAAAACCTTTATCTTTCCACATATCCACAAATCAAATACAACCTTTCCGATCACAGAAGCAATTTTCCACCAAATAATGAAGACTTTTTTCACCTTTCTGACTTTCTCCTAAGTTAGCAAAAAGGTCAACCCCCAAAGAGGTTTTTATGTGCCTATTTCCCACAGGAGAATGTGCAGACAAGTCAAGTGCCTCAGCTCCCTCCACATAGCTTACAGAAGGATAAGTACCTTCCGTAGGTACTTATAAGGGGAATTCAACAACTATCAGACTGTTACCAGGATTCAACAATAGTCAGTGTACATACCAAATCTGGGAGCTGCTTAAAGTAATTAGGCTGAGCTGGAAACCCCCGATAAAATTAATAGGATTTGCTGAGGACAAGATTGGCTTTAGATTCTATACCTTTTTGTGGGGCTTACTCAGTCAAAGAAAGAAGAACTTCCTTCTCCTCTAGTGGTTTGGGCTGAGCTGATCAAACGGAGCCCACTGAAGCCCTGGAAGTTATTCCCACTCTCCCTCCCTCCTGCTGCACCACTCTAACTATGCATTCCCGCTGTTTTCCTTGAATGGGGATCTAGTGGCTAGATGATACTTTGGTGATTAGATTCAGCTCATTGTGGAAAAATGTAAATACTTTCCCACTAGCTGAGACAGCTGAGTGTGGGAACAATGATGTTCCATTTGTGGACACTGAAATTGTCAGAGACCAGCTGTATCAGCTGAATGCTCACAAGTCCATGAGGCCTCATGGGATTCCTTCCAGAATACTAATGGGGGTAGCAGAGGTTAGAGCAAGACCACTCTCCATCACCTACCAAAGGCCTTGGGAGTCAGATCCTACACACTGGAAGTTAGCCACTGTTATTCCAGTCTACAAAAAGTGTGAGGGAAGACCCAGGGAACTACTGACCTGTTAATCTAACCTCAGTACCTGGAACATTATGGAGATTATACTGGATACTACTGAAAGGTATTTAAAAGAGTAATACAAACATCAGGCACTGCCAACATGAGTTAACGAAGGGAAAGTCCTGTCTATCTGATTTGATATCCTTCTATGATAAGGTCATCTACCTGCTGGATGAAGGGAAGGTGGTGGATGTAGTTGTTCTGGATTTTAGTAAGGCTTCTGATACTGTCCTTCACAGCATCCTTCTGGACATGTCATCCAACTGTGGGATGAGTGGGTCCCAGTGCGCTGGGTGACGAACTGGCTGAAGGGCAGAGCTCAAACAGTTGTAGTGAATGGGGCTATACTTGGCTGGTGACCAGTCACCAGCAGTGTTCCTCAGGGCTCAATTCTAGGGTCAGTTCTAGTCAATATTTTTATCAATGATCTGGATGCAGGAATCAGGAGTCAAATTCACCATTAGCAGGTTTGCTGATGATACAAAACTGGGAGGTGCTGTTGACTCTCTTGAGGGACAAGAGGCTTTGCAGAGGGATCTAGATAGATTGGAGTGCTGAGTAATCATCAGTGGCATGAAATTTAGCATGAACAAATGCCAGATTCTGCACCCAGGGCAGAGGAATGCCAGGCACCACTATAAATTGGTAGAGGAGTGGCTGGAGAGCAGCCCTGCAGAAAGGGATCTGGGGGTGTTGGTCGGCAGCAGCTCAAACGTGAGTCAGCAATGTGCCCTGGCAGCCAAGAGGGCAAACCCCATCCTGGGGTGAGTCAAACACATCATGACCAGCCGGTCAAAAGTGGAGATTATCTCTCTATGTTCAGCGTTGATGTGGTCTCACCTTGAATCCTGCGTGAAGATCTGGGCCCCACAATTTAACAAGGCTGTCAAGGCACTTGAATGTCATCAGAGGAGGGACACAAAGGTGGTAAAAGGGCTCGAATGCATGTCTTGTGAGAAGCAGTCAAGGACTTTTGGTTTGTCTAGTTTGGAGAAAAAGGCTGAGGGGTGACTTCATTGCTCTCTACAGCTTCCTGAGAAGGAGAAGTGGACGGGGAGGTGCTCCTGTCTTCTCTCTGGTATACAGTGATGAGATGTGTAGGAATGCCTCAAAGCTGTGCCTGGGGAGATTTAGAACAGACATTAGGAAGCGTTTGTTTATCGAGAGGGTGGTCAAACACTGCAGCAGGCTTCCTAGAGAGGTGGTCGATGTCCCAAGCTTGTCAGTGTTTAACAGGCATTTGGACAATGCCCTTAATAACATGCTTTAACTTTTGGTCAGCTCTGAAGTGATCAGGCCGTTGGTCTAGATGATTGTTTTAAGTCCCTTCCAGCTGACGGAGTCTAGTCACATTCTAATCTAGTCTAGTCTGGTCTAGTCTGTTCCTATTTTCAGACACCAACTAAATGTTCAGATGATAACAGACTTCACAGTAATTCAGTACCTGTTCTGTTGCTTATCAGTTCTTCTCATTCCCAGATATATTAGGGAGTAGAAAGGATTTTAACTCAGCCCTCTGCAAAATAATAACCCACTGCCTCTTTTTTCCTTTTGTTTGTCAAATAAAGGAGGGCATAAAGCAATATCCAACAAATAGCACCCAATGAAGAGAGAAAAATGTAGAGATTTACATTTTATGGAACTCATAAATAGTTTTATGTGTGGGCCATGTGATGTGGGCTGTGCCAGCAGTCCTTCCTGCTTTGTGAGCCAGAGATCAAGATTCCTCTGCTATACGGGCAGGAGAACATAATTTCCGAGGCAGTTTCTCTCATTAAAGTAAAGCAAACCAAACAGATCCGAGGCAGGTAAGCACTCCCCCAGTGCTCACTCCGCCCTCTTTCCTAATGAGTTTCCTGCTTTTGTGGGACAGACCTAGAGAGCTACGAAAGAGTAGAAGGTACGTGATCGTCTAGAAGTTGCTTTGGATTTGGAACCTAGAAAAACAAGGTTCTATTTTCCCATGCGAAATTCATAAAATGGGATCTTCCCATCATTTTGTACCTTCCCATATTCACTAGTTTCTGGCTTTTAGTTTCAAAAGAAATCTTCCTTTGTCTAACTACAAGAAAATAGGAAGAAGGGAGAGTTTTACTGGAGTCCCATCCTCGGGTCAGAAGGGGAAGAAGCGGGGACAAAAGAGCTTGCACATTATTCCTTGTGATGAAGAGAGAAGTTAAAACATGACTGCTCCTACCTATCGAAACCTCTCTCTGGTAAGTGTACCCTGAAAAAGAATGTCTTTTTTTTTCTGGCATTTGTATGTATACATTTATCTATTTTTGCTGTAACAAGGGAACACATCTGGTGTGCAAAAGCACACAATGTAACATGGAACTATATAAAACTGTATATTTATTTGGAGATACTTATTCATAAAAAATATGCCCACTGTGATATGTTTTATTCCTTCACAGTGTGATATATGTAGTTTAGTATAACACACAAGATGACTCCTTAATTCTTGAATACTACGGATCCCTGGTATTCATTCTATATTGACTGTACACAGTGATAACAGCTGACTCGTTCACAGAGATGGGGTTTGAAATGAGGCCCATGAGGGGCTCTCGTGTTTGAGAATGGTGCAAAAAAGCACATCAGCAGAAAAAGAACTGAGGGTATAGGCAAATACTCAAACATATGCCTACATTTTGCAAAACCAGATATAGCCCAGCTATATCTAGAACCTAAAGTAATGATATTGCTAATGCTACACTGAAGTTAGATGCTCACTTTACTGGGGCAGACAATGCCATTAATATGGATACTTTTCTTGCAGGATCTAAACCAGTACCTGAATATTCATTATCTAATGTACAAATCTCCTAGAATTAACCTTTAAAGTTATTCTGCATTTAATTTTCATAGTAAACTCAAATATGCATCTTAAACTGCTCTATGTTCTATTAAGAAGCTAGACTTTTTTTAGATAAACCTGGCAATAAGTGCTGATGATCTATTTATGCATTTTATGTCTTGCAACTGCGTGCCCAAGCGTTCCCATAATTCAACACACATTCACATAGGAAATTCTAGTACATTTACATCAGTGTGCACTTATGCACTGATTTCCCGGACTTATTACACATATGGATAACTGCATGTTCTCGTGATGGCATGTACTCGAGTATGCATGTACTTATTTTGGTCACGATACTGTTGATGTGCTTGTACGCTCATGTTTCATGTTGAAAAAAACTTATTTCGTCTTCCACAGATGTCTGTCCCCTTAACTGCTCATCTGTTCTCAACTATCTGCTACCACCACCTACACTACCATGTGGTTAGAGACACACTGGAAGAACATCCGCCAAGCCTTGTTGCTTCTTTTCACTGCTGCTCTTCTCATTGGGGTCACCCTGTTGGCCATTTCATCTAACATCAATCCAGTAGGCTATTTCTTCCTAGGGGTAGGGGGAGTGTGCCTGATTGGGTATTTGCTGACTGTGTTTGTCGAGTGTTACCTGAGGAATTGGCACCGGCGTGACGCAAATGAAACAACTCCAAACAGGCAAAGCCAGGCAGGGTAAGTAGCCACCTGATTAGTCGTCTTACTTCAACTTTCTCTCCTCAGTTATAGCCATTTTACATATTGTTTTGCTGCCATTCCCCTAGGGCACCAAACACAAATTCCATTCCAGAAGATAGAAGTTCTTTTCAGGGTGTTTTCCTTCATTCTTCAGGTGGAGGCTGCAAATGTCTGTGCCACGCATGTCATGTATCTCGCCCAATACATATTTTCTTCCCCCCTCAGGAACTGATCCACTAACAGTTTCCAAGGTTAAACAGATCCAGGCCGTTTTATTTTTCTTTGAGTAACTGAGTCTTGCCAAACAATGAGTCAGACACGGAAAAAGAAAAAATGCTGAAGCAATACTGAATCTTACCTGGGTTTAGGTCTATAAACCTTATCTCCAGAGCAACTGTTCCTCGGTAAACTTTTAAAAAGGAACCTGTCAAATGGGTGTGTTTCCACTCTTAAAAAAAACAACTCTACCCTAATAAACCCTGATTTTGAAAGGCTCTGAATACTCCCATATCATTTTTTGCTTCATGTGCATTTTCCAGTTCTCAGTATTACCTAATTTAATCCTAATTTGCCCACAGCAGTTGAAGAATTTAACTTCATTTGTATCTTTCCTTCCTTGTCTATATAATCCAGGTAATCATTGTCCACATCCATAAATGACTTGACACTCTCAAATACAGGGTTTGCAGGAGGGCAAAAATGTTCCTATATGTTTATTTTTAGAAAGAGTACTTAAAAATAAGTCTATATTGGACTTTGCTAGCTTGGGAGCACACTAGAAGAAAATTAATATCTGTTTATTTAAAAATACAACCTAAAAAGGAAAATGTTTCTAGAGTAACATCTTCCTCTGCTGATACTCTGATAACACAGAATAGTTAGGCCCTGTTTAAACTAAATGAAAATTCTTAATTTTCTTCTTTTCTTAATAATAGATGAACATTGAGCTAATGTATTAAAAAAGCGAGGTCCTGTTTTATTCCAAGAAATAATTAGCAGGTAGTTAAGTTTTAGTAATAAATTTAGCTCGTAGGAGATTTTAAATGAGGGACATCAAACTAAACCTAGGACACTGAATCAAACAGTGTGGCCTTCTTCACTTGAGGAGTGGGGGAAAATGGTCAGACAAGCCATTCTCTAGACCAGGAAGCACAACATTAAACTGGCTGGAAAACTGAGCTGATCCAATACCAGAACATCACATACAGTAATACCACAGGAGATACCGCGTCTCAGTCCCATCTATTGGTTTTAGCACGGTCCCTACAGTACATTCATTGGACTTCCCGTCTCTGCATAAAACAAGCAGTAGAATAAGCAGTAGA